CTTGAGGTATAGGCCATCAAACTCAGCGTTACAAACCGAAGTTTAAAAAATGTAATGCAATATAACTCAAAACGTTTTGATCTGAGAAATCTGATATTTTACCAGGCGTCTTTGGGGCCTATGATTACCCTTAGGACCGATTTTATTATCCTTCGCCCCAGTGGGGGGGGGGGGCATATGTTACCACCCTGTCGCGTTTTTTTGCGTGTGAATAAAAAAAAAACGCCGCGCGTAGCGCCGCGCCGCCTGGAGTAGCTATTTGTATATCAATTTTGGACAATGTGTGAAATTTTTGACCCCAGGTCATGTCAGGTCAGGTCACCAGGTCAAGTTAACTGACCAAGCCTAAAAAAGTTTGCTATCATGTCCAGCCTGCAGTGTTTGTCAGAAAAGTTTTATGCTTGGTGGATTGCGTGATTTTATGGGCGCCTACAATTTGTATATCTAGGATTTTTTTTATATCCGTGACCTAAGGTCAGGTCAGTGGCGTGACCTTACCATTATAAGTCAATGGAGAAAAATGAAAATGCCTCTAGATCCGTGTGTACGCATAGGAACAGCCCAACTATTTCAGAATCACAATGATTTGGACCACCCGTGACGACCATGGTGTCTTTTTTGCTGATAGCCTCTAGAAAGGTCATCCGTGGTCATTTGAGGCTACAAACAGATTTTTGTCAATAACTCTCGATTGGAAAGAGATAGGACGCTGAGGATGGCCTCATTGTGTTTGTCTTGTTAAGACGCATCGATTGATATGCAACATGACCTTTTCCGGTCAGGTCATGACCTTGACCGGAGGTCAAATTTTAAAGTTGACCTTTCAAGGTCAAATTATATTTCATTCGACGCGTTTCGGCGAGAGGAACACGATTCTGGCAATAGAAATGTTGTGGCCTGTTTTATTCAAAAGTTATTGTCGAAAAACACATTTCGTAAAAACAGCTTTTTTGGAGTTTTTGCCCTCTGGAGGCTAAACCATTGACCTGAGGTCAATTTTGATGGTGAGCTTATCAAAAGAAAAGGTAATAAGCTATCGATTGCTTTTCCATCCGTTTTTCTAACTATCATAGTTCCTGAGATAATGCGTGTTTTCTCAGAAATATAATGACATTTGGCAAATTTTGACCTTTGATGACCTCCAGTGACCCCAATATTGGTCTAAGATGAAAAATGATCGAAATACTTTCAAACGTACGCATTGAGAGCTATCGACTGCTTTTTGCCGCGTCTTTCTAGCCCTCTTAGTTTTTGAGTTAGAGGTAGGTGGTAACATATGCCCCCCCCCCCCCCCCCACTAGCACTAGGGCGAAGTTGGCTGAGACCGCCACTGGGGCGCGGGTTAAAATCTGAAAGATGAGGGTGACGGGCCTGGTACGATCTATCGTGGAATTCCCCAGTAAGCACATACATACATACCTACCTATGGCTAGCCGGCGGACGCCTGTTGGTTGACGTAACCTGACCGCAGCCGACTTTCCCCAAATACATGAATACAATGATCAAAACTGAGTTGATAATAGCGGTTAGCGAATGCCTAACAATTATAAAACTAATACCTAATGCTTAGTAAAATGCTGATAATTGTGTCTCGCTGGGTCACATGGAGTCAGTAGGTCGTTCCTCTCCGAGTCCCAGCGGGGCGCGGGTGAAACTGAAATCGCTTACCTTACGTCTTTCAGCAGCACACCTTTCGTCCTAGACCTCCAGTCTCTGTCTGGGGTCACAGGGTTTGAACTGCGCAGTGCCTCCCCTGTGTCCCTTTGTCATGAGGCCGAACTAACCCATTGACGCGGAGCGGTGCAACAATTTGATGACGTCAGCAGAGTTACCATGGTAACGTGACAACACGAGCCGAGCGGTGTGCAGTCACTGCCCTCCCCGGATATGCAAGTTGCAGTTTCTGCTGGCGGCGCATGCAAACCAGGTGGTCGAATTGAGTGCCCTTGACAACAAAGTACAAACTAGATGAAGGTCCATGTTTAACCCGCGTCCTGCTGGAAGGGGGGGGGGGGGGGGTTGAACACCCCCCCCCCCCTAATGGTTTTTCGCGAACGCCGTTTTTGGCACACCTTATCATACATCAATTCTACACATGTTGTAAAAATTTCAGACAAAGGTCATTCAAGGTCAGGTCACCAAGTTACTTGAAGTGACCTCACCTTATAAAAAGTTCCAATGTCTGCCATATAGCTACACCTACATAGTGACAGATTGCTTTGAAACTTTCAGCGATTGGCGCTGCCCCCCCCCCCCCCCCCGATGCCATACGCGCTACCTTTCTCAGTGAGAGGGGTCACCATCCGGAATGTTTTACAATCGGGAACAATTGAATGACAATGGGCGCCTCAGATGCATAGGCGGCGGAACGGGGAGAGCACCGGGGCACCGTGCCCCCCCCCCCTGATTTTGGCATTTTAACATTAGCCCTATGGGCGTTGCATGGAAAGAATGGGATCAAAAGTCGTCAGTGCCCCCCCCCCCCCCTTAATTGAAGGTGTTCCGCCGCTACTGCTCAGATGCCTTCGTTTGCTGAATTGGCGAAGAAACTGCGAGTGCCATTGCGTTCGGAAAGTGAGATGGCTTTTCAAAATTTAATTTGATGAGTTTTCATAAGAACTTATAATGTCTTACCTATAAATAATTGCATGCAGCAGTAGGTATTGAAATTGTAATAACACCCTCTACGGTCAAGGTGCCAAGCCTAAGCCAAATGCTGACACTATGTTGTCGTTTCATTTCACTCAGTTCACGCTTCACAATGACAATGACTTGCTTGCCACTAGTAATTCAACAATGGAATTTGGAAAAGTATTTTCAAGATTTTGATTCCAATCCTCATTCCATCCTACAATCGAGCAATCACGTTTGACGGTAAAAATTATTTTCGGTTGATCTATTGTTACCCAGAGAGCCATTTATTTTCGTAATGTGGACATATATGTATAACACAACTTAAAGTCGGAAAGTGGGCACTGGCAGTATGCAAACTGCCCAAGCTTTTGGACGGTATGTATACTGCCCAAGGGGTCGGGTAGTAGGTATGCATGCTACCCGGGCGGTATGCATACCGCCCGTGCTGTTGGGTAGTATGCATACTGCCCGGGTAGTTTGCATACTGCCCAAGTTAGCATATGACCCGTAACATATACATAGGTACCCAAGAGTTTCAACTTCAAAAAGGTGCTCACCAAGACCTAAAGTTCATCAAAATTGTATGACCTTGACGCTATACAATAAGCCAGAGAGCAAACTTCATTCCTTTTTTTGGCTCACTTCTTCTTGCAAAAGTGGTGCACGTACAGATTATATGCGCTTATGCGGCGAATCACCATTCTTGTCGAATATTGTCTTAACTCGCGCCGGGCCGGTGCTCCGCGACTTCCGCGCCGGGCGGTGGTGTTCAGACGCGGGGTGTCTGAACACCCCCCCCCCCCCTCCGTCTAACTCGGCTCCTGGGCCACGTAGCGACACGCGGTATAAGCGGCATTCGAAAGAACGTCAAAAATAATGACGGTTACAATTTGATTATTTTTTGGGTCAGGTCAAAGGTCAGGTCGCCAGAGTTTATCAAAGTTCAAAGGTAGTCCATTTCAACAATTTTGGAAACTTCCAACGGCGAACTCCGGAGCCTATATGTAGAGCTACAGCGCCGCGGAAAAAACGCATTCCATAGCCCTTTTACACACCTTTCTTACAGTCCTTTTCTTACAGCCGAATGCGCTTTACAGCCCTTTCTCAGATTTGACCTCAGGTCAACAGGTTAGCCTCCAGAAGGCAAAAACTGTAAAAATGCAGTTTTCCCGAAAATGGTTTTTCGTCCGTACCTACCTTTTGACTCAAGAGAGCTACGACATTACTTTTGGCAGCATCGTGTTCCTCTCGTCGAGAAGCGCCGAATGAATAATTTGTTGACCTTGACAGATCATTTTGAAAATTTGACCTCAGGTCAAGGTCATGACCTGACCGGAAAGGTTCACTTCTACTTGCAAAAGTGAAGTGCACGTACAGAATATATGCGCTTATGCGGCGAATCACCAATCTCGTCGAATATTGTCTTAAAACAATGGATAATTTCAAAGGTCAATGATCGGACCACGAACGTTTTCAGTTAAGGGTATTGATTAGAACTGAGTAATAAACGTTACGTCAATATTCGCCACTTTTTAGAGGGGAGTACCTAATTGAGAAAACAACCGAAAGGCCCTATTGGACCCCTCTAGGTATGTGATAGGGCCACTGGCGACATCCAGCCTTCTAAAAGTGATAATGGCGACTGGCGATATCCAGCCTTCAGTAAAATAATAGTGTCCACTGGCGGTATCCAGCCTTCTAAAAGAAATAACGACCACCGGCGATATCGCACCGCTTGATACTAGACCGTGTCCTGTATCCACCAGTCGATGGTATGGTGACAGGGATCCGTACCCGTGCTGTGTCCATACAGCTGTAATATAACTAATACACACTGTACATACAGTCTACAGTTGACGGCAGAACGATGCACCGTTTCTCAGCGGGCAATCAGCTGCCTGGAGTGGTAGGCTGTGCCGCAGCGCACCGGCTGGGTGACACATTGATCACCATGGAAACACTTGATGTGTGATAATCAGTATAGCCTTACGGCTCAGTCAACTGAAGTGCTGGGCTGGTGGTGAGGGTAAAAATATGATTCGCCCCGTCCCCTGCGGGATGCATTTCCTGGAAATGACGCGATTTTTCTCTTTACTGATAGCTCTCTGGGTTTGGCTTAATTTTCACGGAACACTTATATAAGGCAATCTGAAGTTGCACGCACTTTTTATGAAGGATCCGACATTAGAGCTCCACGTCACTTCAAGTAGGTGACTTCTTTTTATCACAACTTCGTATGAAATTATGGAATGCTATGCTCAAAGCATTGCATAATGATCAGAAGCCTTACAATCCCTTTGACGGGTTACCGTCACGAAATGACAGCACTACATAGTGGCGCTTGGAAATCCGGTAACATTGGTGTATTGAACGTCTGAACCACTGTGTATTTCAATCGCCATCAGCCCGTGATATCCCATGAGCGACACCGAACCGGACATATCCGGTCCAAACGAACCACAGCCGACCGGACCACCGACGGTCCGACACAGTGACGGGCGAGGTCCGATATCGCCTGGACCGGACACCCTCACAGCTAGCTACAACCACTCTCTGGTCTAAACTGAAACTACAACACAACAGCACAGCGGTGTGAGCCAGCGTGACATCATGTCAAAAGTCACACGTGCCGTCACCACGGCGGTACCTCCGGCACGGTGACAACGGTTCACCGACGGCTGGACACTGGCCCGGAGCGTTATAAATCTTGGATACTGAATATGACTAGTGTCTATCAAAGCAGTGTCAACAAACGTGCAATCTGTGCCTAAATCAAATGACCAACCTTCAGGCGGCTACTCAGCCCAAACCAGCCTGGCACGGCGGTAAAGTACCCACGGACCTGGCCCCATGGGACAGGGCGGCTCCGAACAACTCTGGATATGAAGGTCCAGGTGTGCAATGTGCTCCGTACAGCGCTGCCGACGGGACACAGTGCTGCCATCTGTTGTCGAGTTCCGACACTGCCGCCGGCACCAGAGCGGACGAGGCACCGGGAAGCTAGTCGTCTAGTTATAGTACTGCAAGCAGATTTTGCTGCCTTTGGGAGGCTTGGTAAGCTTGTCGTATGCAGACTCTGAAAAATAGAGCACGTCAGATTACATACTGATTGCTAGAGATGTCACATGGGGCAACTCAGACTTATGACGTCACTTACAGGTACAGAAACAAACACAATGGCAATGTGTGTATCACCGACTAATGACGTCATGAGGGCTGATACTGATACTGTGACGCCACTTCCGGAGATACACGTAACCAATTGTGACGTCAGTACTGGTGACGTCACGTGCGTCAGTGTCTGTGCGTATCAGAGAGGCCGGTGCAGGGGCGGCGGATTCGGGGGGGGCAGGGGGGGCAGCTGCCCCCCTGGCGAACTCGTGGGGGGGGGGCAAAAGTATCTTTTTGCCCCCCCCATAATTTGTGACAAAACGTAGACAAGAAACATATACCTGATTATTCTGTTCGATCATCTGAAGATGTAACCAGATGCCCATATACTTTATCATACGTTGCCCTTCTTAAATGACAAGTGTTCGCGTTCAATTCACGTTTTCCTCTCTTCAACCTAGTTTTGGAGACATTATAAGCGTCAACGTGACGCAGCGGCAACCCAGGCCTTCAGTGAACGTTTACAGGGGCGTCGGATTATCGGATAGGTACGGAGCGGCAGAGGAGGCATCGTTCCCTAAGAAACTTCTGGACGAGGGACAAACGTATATTCTTGCCCCTCCATAATTTGTGCCCTAAACATGAGGAAATTTCCATAGCCTGATATTGCAGCTATGCGCTCCTACAGTTTGTCCAACGGTGCCTTTTGAATATGTGTAAATGCTAACCATTTCCGCTTTATAGCATTTTTTGTCTTTTCAGATTCGATTTAGAGATATTTTAAGTGTGCAAGAGAAGCAACTCACACCCTCAGTGGTCGTTTGCCGCTATTTTGTACCTATATGAATGCCAAATCGCAAGCGAGCGGAGACGGAAGGGCTAGCCATTCGCTTGCGGGTAGTTAGGACTGATGAGCGCTCGTAATAAGCCACTCCCCTGATTTTTTCGAGCGCAACGGTTTCCAGTGCAAGTAAAATGGTAAACGCCGAGGTCGTACACATTGACCACATTGACCAATGCACGGTATGACACCCAAAGGCCAGCCATCAGAGATCTGCTTTGGGCATTCGGAGGCTTGTGTGGGGCCAGTGTAAAAACTGGATGTTCACAGTTCAGTATCCGCTTTATTTCAGTATTCACTATTTAATAAGTAAAAATTAACGTTGGAAACTTTTGAGGGTAGGGCGTTAGTGGGGCCCCCTCTGGCTAAAGGCTGGCTATAGAATACATAGCATCGAACACGAAAGCAAAATCTAAGGCATTTCGGAAAAAATGAGTATGCCCCGCAGCGTCCGATAACTACCACCTTCCAGTGGGTCAAGCCAACGGGGTCCAAGTCTATAATGGCACTTAACGATAGCATTAACCTTGTCTCACTTTTCGTTGAAGTCTGTTCCGAATGGTTTCGGCGACAGACTGGCTGCACTGAGGTCGTTTGGTATGTGCAACTGTAATTACAGCCACCTGAGGCGCCCACACTAGGCTGAAGCTGGGTAAATGCTTCGTCTTTGCAGATACCTACCACTGGCCGCTGATTCTCGAGTGCCTGAACCGGTAGATGTTGTGGCAAAATTTGGTGTGATAATTTGGACCTTACCGCAGTCAGCGCACCCTAAAGTCCTTATCAAGAAACGCCCCCCCCCCCCAGAGCTTCTGCATGCAGTCCACCGAATTCCTTCACCCTAGTCTGCCGCTCGACTCCCTCACCTCAGCCCTCCGTTCCTGCAGCTTGACGAGCGTTTGGGCCTTAGTTAAAGGGACTATCCCACCTTCTAAAATGTTGTTAAAACCAGTTAAATTGTGCCCGACTTTAAAGATTGGATGACCAGGAACACGGTTCTGGCATTTATTTTTCATTAAACATCTTAGGCTTCCCATATTCCAAACACAAACTTTCAAATATGTGACGTCACAGCCCAAAATTACCTCCTTCCCCAGGCCACATTACTGTCATAAAGCTGATTCTTTTTACTCTGTAGGCACCACAACAAAGTTCAGACCAAGTTTTAAGCGATTTTTCAACGAACAAACCCATTTAAATCAGAATGATTAAACGAGGTGACGTCACACTAACGGTCGCTCCATGTTGAAGATAGGGCCTTGCACAAGGCCCATTTTCAAATGAAGGGAACGAATTTCTTCAACACCAAGAGGCCGCGGGGGTTGCAACCTAGATAGATAGTGGTTTCTGAACCTCGCCGCAAACTTGGCTATCTCAACTCAAACCCCATGTTAAAGGTGGGATAGTCCCTTTAAGCCTTGCTGTGGGCTTACTGTAGGATAAACCCATCGAGACAGCCCGTCTCGGTGAGCTTAGTTGGCGAACTACTGCCTTGGGGAGGGTTTCTGGCGGATTGCTGTCCTGCAATAGGTTTAGATGCGACCGACTGTCTCTGAATGTTTGAGCGGTCTCCTCCCGCTGTTAGCTAGTTTCAGTTGATATCTGTCTCAGAAATACTTTTTAAAGGAAGGTTAAACGGAAATCGAACGTAAAATGAACAGAGGAAATGGTAACGAGTTACCTCATTGAAGAATAGCGCTCGCCTACTTCAAAAGGTTTGGCCCCGTTCTTCAAATCTCATTTGCGATCGGGTTATGGGCTATGGCACAATTTTTCCCATTGGAGCTTTTTTCTAATACAGCAATACGAAAATCGTTACATCGTCCACTGGCAGATCCAGGGAGCGGGCATATAAAGCAAATATTTACTCCCCCTCTCCTTGCATCGCCCGAAATAGACAAAACGTACCTTATGTTTCCTAATAATAAAACTTTTATCAGAATATTTTTTGCTTTATACTGTTCAGCAGTAGGTCCGTAAGGAATCGAAATCCGAGGAGTTTTTGGATTTTGGACACTGGGGGGGGGGGGTATGTCCCCTACAGCGTCGACAACGCCTTTCTGGATCCGCCTATGACATCATCTCAACTGGGATCTTGCCCCCCCACGCCAAAATCGAATCCGCCGCCACTGGGCCGGTGGCGCCATGTCGGCTGGTGTGGGTGGTCAGAGACGCCGTCACTTACTGGGGACACAGAGATTGATGGTACGGGACTGGCCACTGTCACATCCCAGGTCTGTATCGTGCAGGGCGGTCAGGACGGTCTGGCAGTTTTCAGTGGAGGATCCAATGAACAGTCTATACAGTTTCCTGCAGGTCACTGCCATCCTGCAACAAATCAAAACAAAACAGAACAGGTGGCAGTATACGGGACACAGTCACACAGTGGCACCAGCGGTCGACTTAACCTTCGCCCCAGTGGGGGGGGCATATGTTACCACCCTGTCGAGTTTTTTGCAAGTGAATAAAAAACCGCGGCGCGTAGCGCCGCGCCGCTTGGGGTAGCTTTTGGTACATCAATTTTAGACAATGTGTGAAATTTTTGACCCCAGGTCATGTCAGGTCAGGTCACCAGGTCAAGTTAACTGACCAAGCCTAAAAAAAAGTTTGCAATCATGTCCAGCCTGCAGTGTTTGTCAGAAAGGTTTCAAACTTGGTGGATTGCATGCTGTTATGGGCCCCTACAATTTGTATATCTCGGATTTTTTATATCCGTGACCTAAGGTCAGGTCAGTGGCGAAACCTTTCCATTACAAGTCAATGGAGAAAAATGAAAATGCCTCTAGATCCGTGTGTACTCATCGGAACAGTCCAAATATTTCAGAATCACAATGATTTAGTCCACTCGTGATGACCAAGGTGTCATTTTTGCTGATAGCCTCTAGACAGGTCATCCGAGGTCACTTAAGGCTACAAACAGTTTTTTGCCAATAACTCGCGATTGGAAAGAGATAGAACGCTGGGGATGGTCTCATTGTGTTTGCCTTGTTGAGACGCATCGACTGATATGCAACATGACCTTTTCCGGTAAGGTCATGACCTTGACCTGAGGTCAAATTTTCAACTTGACCTTTCAAAGTCAAATTATAGTTCATTCGACGTGTCTCGGCGAGAGGAACACGATTCTGGCAATAGAAATGTCGTGGCTTTTTGCAGTCGAAAGTTATTGTCGAAAAACACTTTTCGTAAAAACAGCTATTTTTGGACTTTTTGCCCTCTGGAGGCCAAACCGTTGACCTGAGGTCAATATTGATAATGACCTTTTCAAAAGAAGGGTTCAAAAGCTATCGATTGCTTTTCCCTGCGTTATTCTAGCTACCATAGTTCCTGAGATAGCGGCATGTTTTCTGAAAAATATAATGACAATTGGCAAATTTTGACCTTTGATGACCTCTGGTGACCCCAATATTGCTCTAAGGTGAAAAATGACCCAAATACTTTCAAACGTACGCATTGAGAGCTATCGACTGCTTTTTACCGCGTCTTTCTAGCCCTCTTAGTTTTTGAGTTAGAGGTGGGTGGTAACATATGCCCCCCCTCACTAGGGCGAAGTTGGCTGAGACCGCCACTGGGGCGCGGGTTAACACGGAGACACTACACCTTTTTTCTTGCTTTTTTCGATCCGAATCGGCATCTGGTCAGTTAGTTTCGGCAGATCTGCATTAGGAACGTCAGCTGGAATGCGCTTTAGACAAACCACGCCCCAAACTCGGCATAGTGCAGAGGCGTGACATGGGGCATTTAATTTCGACACTGAGCGTGGTTTCGACACTGGCTGTTAGGAGCACGAAGGATACCAGTGACGTCACAGTGTGCCACATATACGGTCGGGTAGACTTACCTTGGCAGACGGGGATTGAGCGGGGGTCGCGTCGGCGCGCGGGGGGTGTTCGCTGGTGTTGTGCAGCATGTAGTGATTAATACAGAAATACGTTTCCAAACTCTTATCATCAGCGGTGGGATACGAATTGAAAGGTTGCCACCTGTGTTTCTGGGGTTGGAGCCCTGTCTGAAGCAGTGGATCGGGACGATCCGGGGAAACGTGTGCTGCAGATTGACTGGTACGGTGTGGTACAGGGAGCAATGACCGACCAGCAGGAGGCTGGGGGTGAGAACGGTGGTGTGTTGCAAACAAACCAAGGAGGTGGTGCTGTCATGGCTTATGCACCGAGAACTCGGAGCTGGGGTGGGAGTTTGGGCCTCCCAAGCTTCAACCAGAAGGATTTCAGAAGTTTCTTTCGACAGATGAGGCGGCGAGTGGCCGTGGACCAGATGTCTGAGTCTGAAGTGTACGACTTGTGCATTTATGCAGTCGGGATGGAGTCGAAGTCTGAATGGCTAGCGACAAGGGTGGAAGAGAAACTTCCCAAAACAGACGAGTCTGTACCGAGTCTGAATGACATAGAAGAATGCATCACCGAGTGTCTGGAGCCACAGCATGTAAAAGCATTCATCCTGAGGGATCTGGACCGCATGCAGCTGAGTCACGACCAAGATCCGAGAGAGTTCGTCAACGACGTGTACGAGAAGGTGCAACAAGCTGTACCTGAAGGGAAAGCGGATGCTTGGAAAATCATGGCGATTAACTACGCTGTGAAGGGTGCACCGGCGTCATGGCAAGTCAGGCTCCACGAAGCGAATTGTCAGTCGTTGGACACACTGGTGAGGAAGATGACCACGATACGACTGTCCGAAAAGTACCGCGATGACTCGAGAAACCCAGAAGCACGGGTGATGAAGGTCAACCGGTCAGGTTTGAAGTGCTTCGGATGCGGTCAGACTGGACATTTTGCCAGTAAGTGTCCAAAGAAGAGAGCAGAGAACAAGCATTGGAACCGTAAGTGCTACGGGTGTGGCAAAGAAGGTTACCTGAAGGCCCAGTGTCCGGAAGGAAAGGGCAAGACGCCGGATAGAGATGGCAGCGGATGCAAGAGGATTCAAACGAGTGAAGTCCAGATGACCGTCACGATAGAGGGTCCGCAGATCCAAGCTGTGGTTGACACAGGAACGAAGTTTAACCTGATGAACGACAAGATGGTCAGTCAACTAGGGCTAGAATTGTCAAAGGCGGTGATTCCGTCGCTCACCACAGCCGACGGGTCGGAGCTCGCCACAAGAGGCTGTGCGTGGGTGGAGATGGCGGTGAACGATGGACCAGAGAAAGCCACCATGTTTGTCGTGGCTAAAGACCTGACAGATGACGTGCTGATTGGGCTTGACACGCTGAAGGAGCTGAAGGCATCTATTCAGTGTGGTGAGATGCAGGTCACGGTGGAGAGAGTTCCAGAAGCCGTCCTGGATCAGTATCCGTCGCTGTTTGCTAGAGATGGTGAGGATATCGGGCGGGTGAAGAACTTCCAGTATAAGGTGCGCACGAGTGGTCCGCCAGTCGTATCAAAGCCATACAAGATTCCCCTGCACTACCAGGAAGAGGTAGACCGCCAGCTTTCTGAAATGGAAGCACGAGGAACCATCTGCAAGAGCTCGTCGGAGTACGCGAGCCCAGTGGTGGTCGTGAAGAAAGGAGGGAACGAGCTGAGAATCTGCTGCGACTACTCGAAGTTGAACAAGCAGGTCTCGAAGGAGGCATACCCAATGCCAGCCTTGGGTGACGTCCTGTTGAAGCTGAGGGGTGGCAAGATTTTTAGTCACCTGGACGTAAAGAGTGCCTACCACCAGGGTTGTGCTCGACTCAAAAAAATTTGCCGACTCGACTCATCATTCAACTTCAGAATACCCTGACTCAACTCTGACTCAAACAAGGAGCTGATTTTTTCCCTTGACTCGACTCATGACCCAAACGGCTCAATGAAAATATGAGTTGACTCAAACTTGACTCAAATTTTTTGTTAGGTCAAGTGTGTTGACTCAAAATTGACTCAGATAAAAAAGTTGTTGAGCGGGGGGGGGGGGGTGAAAAAATCCGGCAGCAGGGCCAGGCCTAAGTTGTTAAGCGGGGGAGGATGAAAAACTTATACAATATATTGTTTCTGAAAAGTTGAGTCAGCTGACTCATGTTCCTAAATGTTCTTGACTCAACTCAATGTCAAAAGTTATTTTACTGACTCAACTCTGACTCAACTCAACACCTTAATATTTTTGTCCGACTCAACTCTGACTCAACTCAACAGCTCAACATTTTATCCGACTCGACTCAAATCTGACTCATTTGAGTCAGAGTTGAGTCAAATTTCTGACTCGACTCATGAGTCAAGCACAACCCTGCCTACCACAACGTGCCTCTAGATCCGGAGACGAAGCACAAGACGGCGTTTGCAGTTGGAGGCAGACTGTGGGAGTGGAACGTTTTTCCATTTGGCCTCTGCACGAGCGGACAGGTGTTCCAGCGTATTCTGGATGAGATCTTGGAGGGTCTAGACTTCGTAACGGCGTATGTAGACGACATCTGCATCTTCACAAAGGAAGACGACGAAGGACTGCACATGAAGCAGGTCCACGAAGTGTTGAAGCGGTTGGAAGCCGCTGGGCTCAAGCTTCGCCCAGACAAGTGCGAGTTCGCGCAGAAGAGCATCGTCTGCTTGGGGCACAGAGTGGCCCACGATGCAGTGAGTGCACTGGAAGACAAGACGGGGGACATCAAGAGCTGGCCAGAGCCTGAAAACGTGACAGAGCTGCGTCAGTTCCTGGGCCTGTGTGGTTTTTATCGCATGTTTGTCCCGAACTTCAGTGCGATCGCGGCACCGCTCACTGACCTGCTGCGGAAAGAAAGAACCTTCAAGTGGGAGAAGGCTCAGAGGGTGGCGTTCAACAGACTGAAGGAAGAGCTGTCGTCACCTCGGACCTTGGCGGAAGCCGACCCAAACCAAAGGTTCGTCCTGACATGTGACGCAAGTGAACTGGGATGCGGAGCAGTTCTCGAGAACGGGGGAAGGCCGGTCGCGTTCGCGTCAAAGCGATGGACGCCATCAGAAGCCAAGAAAAGCACGACGGAGCGAGAGCTAAACGGCGTGATCTTCGGCATCAAGAAGTTCGCCTACTTCTTGAAGGGCGCCAAGTTTCAGGTGGTCACGGATCACCAGCCCCTGACGTACATCAGAGACAAGCGCAATGCTGAAGAGAACCTGAAGGAGAAGTTGCTTCTGCTGGGAGACTACGACTTCGAGATAGAGTATCGCCCTGGGAAGGACATCCCACATGCAGACGCACTGTCGCGGAAGCCGGCGCGACGGGTCGCGGTGACGGAAACGGACGTGGCAGAAGCCGTGGAAACCGACCAGCGTTTGAAGGTCGTTCGGGACGGATTGCTGACTGGAGGTCGGTGGAACACAGACGATCCGGAGTTGAAGTTCTACCAGAAGGACAGAGGA